TATGGGGCAGTATACTTTGTATTTTCTTACAACTCTCTGTTATGGCTGCCAGTGAGTTTTGTTTTGTTTTTGGTCACTGGAAGGCAAACATAAACTTTATTTGCAAGTCTGATTGCCCAGACACTTATCTCCCTGGGACTCACATTGTTGACAAGAGAAATATAATTAAGAGAGAAAGAAATAACTAAAATTTGGGCCATTCAATAATCACAGAGAATTCACATTCCCTTCCATATTTGCTGTGATCCCAGAAGGCAGAAAAAGCCAGACAAGGGAGGACTAGGTAAAATAAGAAAAAATGGAGACAAATTCATTAAATGAAGGGAGTGATGCCTCCAGAAAGCTTTTTGTATAATGGGAAGGGTGGAAGACTTTGGTAAGTGATTTTATGCAACAGAACAGAATATGCATAACATTTTGACAGTATGCAAAAGGGCCTAGAAGTGTTTCCTTTCCTGGCACTGAAAGTTTCCTTCAAGAAATTTGGTAAGCTCTATTGGGGCCTTTTCCTCTTAAACAAGGAGCACACATGAGGCTGAAGGAGGAGCCTCATCCACTGATGTTGCTTTCCAGTCCATATAATATTATCCTCTACTACACAAATGACAACCACATGGGGCCAGAAGAGAAAGAATTATCCTGTTGACAGTGATAGAGGGATAATGCCTGAATCGAACTGGAGAATAATTTACAGGCTTGAAATATTTGCTCTTTTCAAAAAGCAATTTGTACGCTTTGAAAGTGACTGTGGGTCAAACTAGTTCGTCCGCTTAACCCATGTTTAACAGAGGTGTTCACTTACATTGGTAAACATACCTGCTTTTCATATCATGTCATTTTCCTCAATTATGTATCTTGCATTTCACTCACTTTGGTTTGTGATTAGTCATTGAAAGGTAAATATGGGCTTAATTTGCAAGTCTGATTGTCAAGGCAAAAGCAAAAGCAAAGTGTGCTGCTTATATACCACCCTATAGTGCTTCAAGCACTCTCTAATCGGTTTACAGAGTTAATTATGCAGGCTACACATTGTCCCCCCTAGTGAGCTGGGTACTCATTTTACCGACCTTGGAAGGATAGAAGGCTGAGTCAACCTTGAGCCACTACCTGGGATTGAACCCCAGGTCGTGAGCACAGTTTTTGGCTGCAGTACAGCAGTTTAACCACTGTGCCATGAGGAAGAATGCACAGACTCTGAGGAAACCTTATTATGGGGAGTTAAGAGGCCATAATGAAAGAAATACATATTTTCCTTAACTTGTAATAGGATGCTTAATTTCAATTGCAGACATTTATATTTATATTTAGCCTGCAGAAGATATTTGTTTCAGTCTTCATAATTTCCAGTTATATTATATCAGGAGCCAGGTGAGAAGGAAGACCTCTAGCCTAAGATCCTGGAGAGAGGCTGCTAATCAAAGAAAGTTGTGTACATCTAGATCAGTGTTATGATCTAGATGTTACAGGACTACAACTCCCAGAAATCCTGGCCAGCACAGCTAATGGTGAAGGCTTCTGGGAGTTGCAGTCCAAGAACATCTGAGGACCTAAAGTTGGGAACCACTTATCTAGATGGACAGTCTGACCTAGTATAAGGCAGCACTCTTATGTTCCCATTATGAATGAATCTATTGAAATTACCTTGGTTTAAATAGGGTGGTGCCAAGCCAAAGGCACCAGAATATAAAATGTAGCTTTCAGCTAAATCTAATTTAATAAACTGTTCTAAACTAACTAACTAACTAACTAACTAACTAACTAACTAACTAACTAACTAACTAACTAACTAACTAACTAACTAACTAACTAACTAACTAACTAACTAACTAACTCACTCACTCACTCACTCACTCACTCACTCACTCACTCACTCACTCACTCACTCACTTACTTACTTACTTACTTACTTACTTACTTACTTACTTACTTACTTACTTACAGCATACTGTATTTGAACCATTCCTCAGTTGGAAAGGCTCCCAGAATACCATAAAGATCAATATAAAAGTTAACAATCTCAAGTACATGATACAAAAGGAAAAAAATGATAGGAAAACAAACAAACTCAAACAACCTTCACTCATATAAAATTCTTCTAATGACCAGAAAACAAACAAACTCAAACAATCCTCACTCATATAAAATTCTTCTAATGACCAGTTAGGATGGAACCAGGCTATTGTTAGTTAAAACAATAACAATAAAACAATGTACAATGCATTTAGGCACAAATGTAAACCGATGACCTAACCATGCTCAGGAGTAATGACAGCAAAAATGAGCCCCATCTGTTTATTTGTTTGCTTGCTTGCTTCAAACTCAAACAATCCTCACTCATATAAAATTCTTCTAATGACCAGTTAGGATGGAACCAGGCTATTGTTAGTTAAAACAATAACAATAAAACAATGTACAATGCATTTAGGCACAAATGTAAACCGATGACCTAACCATGCTCAGGAGTAATGACAGCAAAAATGAGCCCCATCTGTTTATTTGTTTGCTTGCTTGCTTCCCAGCATATCCTTACCAGACTTGTTCTTGCATTCTATGTCGTAGCCTGTGATTGGGCTGTTTCCATCAAATCCCATGGTCCATCGGAGGGCAATGCTGCGTGCTCTCACCTCTCGAATTTCTATTTCTGGAGGATCTGGGGGTTCTGTGCACACAAAGAAATCTGGCTTCAGTCAGGAGGAGGAAACATTCCAGTGACAGCAGCCAGAATGGCATTGAAAATACAGCTCTCTTACAATACAAGAGTCAGCACACCACACTCCAATTTCCATGATCAAGGAAAAGCTTAGATGCAACTTATAAATGAAAAATAATTTTTAAAGAAGTTGTGGCACTGTAAAAACTAAGGCCAGAATCCAGTTCCTTATGTGATTGCAGATAGGTGACTGCATCAACATTTCCACCCTTCCCACAGGCTCATCTTTGCATGTCCAATCTCACTAAAAAATGGGGGGCACCAAGGACTATGTGACTGGGGTGACACAAAAGGGAGTGGCAATGGGGAGTACTACAGCGCCACTGTCCTTATGCAAGTGGCACTCCTCTAGATGGATTTTGACCTAACAGCTATATTTCAGTCTAAACATCCATGGATTACAGTCCACTTCTTCTAACAGAGAATGTAATCTATTTCCAATCCTCAAAAGCTCATACTGAAATAAATATGTTGGTCCTTCAAGTTTTCTCAGCTTTTTCTTTCTATTGTTGTTATACACCCTGAAAGAGAAAAGGATGCCAGCCTTGCTGAAGACTCGTATTTTGTCTGAGCAGGTACCCTATGTTAGAACCCCACAAAGAATCCATAATATTGTTTTTAAAGAATACTAATAATCCTTGAGACGATAGAGGGATTTCTGTACCATAATTGTGAATAAATTAAGATCATTTTTCTATGTCTTCCTGATTTGTGCATGTGTGTGTGTGTGTGTGTGTGTGTGAGAGAGAGAGAGAGAGAGAGACAGAGAGAGAGAGAGAGAGAGAGAGAGAGAAGGGTAGAGGTCTCAATATCTTTAGAATTTTAAACAAAAGGTCTTAAAGCTCCAGTGCATGATAAACTTTGATAAAAATAAAAATTAAATACATAAATAATCTATGTGGTTAAAAATAGTGGAAGTCTGTCTGTATGTGTGTATCTGTGTAGAGGAGAGAGAAAGAAAGAAAGAGAGAGAGAGAATATAGAATTAGTAGTTGTTTGATTCTGGGTATTCCAGTTTCACAACATGAATAGCACAGTATGACTTTGCATATATGCACTAAGGTATTCCATAGTTCTGGGAGAACAGCTATTTATTTTATCATCTCTGACAGAATCATTATATTGCTACAATCTCCTTGTAAAAGAGAATTAGGCTCCCAGTTTACTGAGGCATCCCATGTACCTGTGTGGCAACTAGGAACTGATGCATGCAACCTGCAGCCAGAGAAGGCTGGGAGGAGGGGTTGGGAGAAAGGTTGTTTGCGAGCGCTGAGTGGAGTTGGCATCTTGTGTGTAAGCTCCAAGGCATACAAGCACGTGAGCAAGTATGGTAAGCAAAGCCAGCAGAACCCGGTGGCTGATTTCTGCCTCAGCTCGGGCATTTGACAGGGCAGCACCTCAGCCATTTCTGGAACCTGCTGATCCCCACCCTGCTAGGACTCCTCTTCCCATCAAGAAATATGGGGAGGGAGGGGAGGCAGCTGGCCTCAGGACATTCCGACTGCTGCAATTCAGAATGCAGAAATAGACAGCCCTTACTAGGAGTGTAAGACTGATTTATACATGTAGTATTTTGTTTCTAAATATAAGGCAAATGCACTGTTCCTTCTGCAAAGACACATTTCTGACTTCATCCTAGTGCAGACTTGCACCAAGTAATTCCATGCCTATCTTTGTACTTAACAATTTCAGCAGAAATTAGACAGATGAGTTTGAACTCTGATATAGTTTCCAATTTCTGACCATTACAGCTATGTTTGATTAGGGACTAGGACCCTTTGACAGATTTCTGAGCATGACATACACTTACTGTACTACAATAGCTTCTGTTTTTTTCCCCCCTTACATTGTCCTCTTCCTACCTTGCACAGTGAGCTGAATTATTCCACGGTCCTCTCCATAGGAATTGATGGCATGACAGGAGAAGAAACCAGAGTCTTCTCGCACTGTTGGCAAAATCTACATTGCAGACAGAGAAGAAGAAAATTCATTCAGTAGGAAATGTAGAAAGTCAGCCCACCTTTCCAACACCACATTGTGTGCAGATGTGACCTCAGATGGAGCTTTGTTATGTATACCAACAAGCCGCACTGTACGGACAGCATGTACAAATGTGTATATAACTCATATGAAGCATAGACGTTTACCCTGAGAGGAAAGTCCCACTAGACCACTGGTTCCCAACTTTTTTCAAGCTGTGACTCTCTTTGATAATGGCCCAGTGACCTATGACACCACCTCCCACTATGTTTGCATAAAAAGGTGTTTTTAATGGGGTAAAGTCATCCCTTCTCAGAAAGTAAAGGCTTCTCTCTCACCAAAAGGGCCTGTTTCTCATACATACAATAACTGTAATATCCCACTCCAAAAGGTCAAGGAAGACATTAGTTAACAAAGGCTACATATAAGGCAACCCATGACCCCCCCAGAAAACACTCTGCAACTCACAGGTTGGAAAACATTGCACTAGAGCATAGTCATGTAGGATTGTGCCACTGGTAAAAGTGTTGTTTATGCACCAACAAAGGGTGGGATTTCTTCCTGCTTGTGCAGTGGCAGCATTTGCACAAGCAGTGTGATCCTGTCTTGCTACACAGGCAGGACTTTCTACCCAGCAGAAGCTCAGCAAGCTACTAGCCAGAGAAAAGCTGTAAACGTCTCAGCCCAGACAAAATCAGTGGGGGCGGGGAGAGTACGACTAGGGCTGGGAAGGCTCAGGCTTAAATCCTCCATCTGCCATGATCCCATGAGAATAAAATGTAAAGGGAATTAGGTATATCACCATAAGTGCCTTCAAGGGAAAACAGGATATATCTAAAAGAATAAGAGTAACATTACTTTTTTTTTTTGACGTAAACTCAGAATCCCCCAGCTAATATGGGTAGCTAGTGAATGCTGGGAGTTTTAGTCCAAACACTAAGCTGTCTGGGTTCTGATTTAACTTATGCCTCCTTCAGCTATAGAGTTCAGACTGCCTTTCTCAGTAGAGTTCATATATATAGCTCCTGGGCAGAATCCTACACATGTGGCAGGCCACGGCTAAAAGTAGAACTGCATCATACTGTGTGGCTCCTCGCTGTTCTCTACACAACTCAAATGCACTGGCTATTATTTTGCCAAAACAGTCAGTTTGGGTCTGACAATAATAATATAATTGATGGTACATTCTTAATATTTTGAAAGAATGAATTGATTTGAAGTTCCCATTCCATTCAAATCAGTGTTTTGGCAAGATGCAGCATGACAGATTGACTAACATCTAAATCACATATACATGTTGTTATATTTATTTGATAAATATTTTATTTATATCCATTTGCACATTTACATCAGCACTTATCTGTCAGTTCTGCAACAGTGGAAAACACCATTGATGTAAGACCGCATAGTGATTTTCCACTTTTGTGTTTAAATCTGCTATTGCATTGGGATATATGAGAACCTAGACCTTTTACCCTGAGAAATAAGACTTTTCAGATCTGGTCTCACTCTTTAAACATCCCCAGTGGTAGAGACTGATAACCTAAGGAAAATATATCTTGGGTGTTGTTTTCAGTTATTTAATTGATGCTTCTTGCCATATTGAAATAAATAGAATCATCCTCATTCCATCTTATATGTGTGTTTTTTCATTTTCTTTCTTTTTTCTTTTCGGTAAAGACAAAAGTAGGTTTTAAACAAAATGTAGATGCAATTTCTTGGCTTTCTCCCCGGAAGTTACTAAAATAATATTTTACATTGTATTTGATTTCTTTAAAGTGTTAATAAATCACTTTGCTGTCCACCCAGAACCACAAAATTATGTATAATTTAAAAAAAACAGTAATGCAATACAAGCAAAATAAGAACATAGAAACAAAAGCAGAACTTTGTTTAAAGCAAACCAGTGCAATTTTACAACCCCAGTTTGGGTGCTGAACTCATTGCTTTGAAGGCACAACTATGATGTCTCCTCAAATGAATGCAATGAGGGTCTGTTTCCTCTGATGTGCAGCAGAGATTACATTGTGTTATCATGGCATAACTGCCACAAACCAACATGATGCCGGTCATTCTACAAGAAACACATCTTATTGTGCAACAAGTGCCTGCCTAGTATTGTGACCAACATTTCATTAAGTTAGTGGCAATTTATTTGTTCATTTTTATTATTTAACATATTTTTATTCTGCCTTTCTCCTTAAAAAGGACCCAAGGCAACTTACGTCATTTAAATATAATATTTAAAGGTATAAAACAGTAAGTCTACCAAAACAAAAAAGTATCAAACAAATACCAAACTAAAAGATATTTTACAAAAGAAACACCAAAAGATGTGTTCAAAACAATAAAGTACAACCATCCATTAAAATAAAAAGTCACTGAGGCAACCAGTTACTAAGGGAAAGCTTGGCTGAGGAGAAAGGTCCTTTGCCTGCTTGTGGAAGGACAGAAAAGATGAGGCCAATCCGGTCTCCTGTGGGAGGGAGTTACAAAGTCTAGAAGCAGCAAAAGAGAAAGCCCTCTCCTACATCCCCACCAAACACATCCAAGAAGGTGATGGGACCGAGAGAAAGGTCTCTTCTGATGATCTTAACACCTGGACAGGTTCATAATGGGAAGCATGGTCTTTGAAACAGCTTGGACCCAAGCCTAGAGCTTTATAGATTAGAACCAGCACTTTGAGTTGTGCCCAGAAACAGATTGGCAGTATATATGCCATTTAACCCACAATTATTTTTACTTATGCCCATGTAAATCATCAATACAGTTCAAATTTGTTGGTCACCATGTCAGCCCATGAGGAGGAATCAAAGAACCTCTTAATGACAGTGAAAGAGGAGAGCACAAAAAAATGGTCTGAAGCTCAACATAAAAAAAACTAAGATCATGGCTACTGGTCTCATCACCTCCTGCAAATAGAAGGGGAAGATATGGAGGCAGTGACAGATTTTAATTTCTTGGGGACCATGATCACTATAGATGGTGACAACAGCCACAAAATTAAAAGACACCTGCTTCTTGGGAGGAAAGCAATGACAAACCTAGACAGCATCTTAAAAAGCAGAGACATCACCTTGCTGACAAAAGTCTGCATAGTGAAAGCTATGGTTTTTCCAGTAGTGATGTATGGAAGTGAGAGCTGGACCATAAAGGAAGCTAAACACTGAAGAATCGATACTTTTGAATTGTGGTGCTGGAGGAGACTCTTGAAAGTCTCCTGGACTGCAAGGAGAACAAACCTGTCCATTTTGACGGAAATCAACCCTGAGTGCTCACTAGAAGGACAGATCCTGAAGCTGAGGCTCCAATACTTTGGCCATCTCATCAGAAGAGAAGACTTCCTGAAAAAGACCCTGATGTTGGGGAAGTGTGAGGGCAAGAGGACAAGGGAACAACAGAGGATGAAATGGTTGGACAGCGTCATCGAAACTACCAACATGAATTTGACTGAACTCCGGGAGGCAATGGAAGACAGGAGGGCCTGGCATGCTCTGGTCCATGGGGTCACGAAGAGTTGGACATGACTTAATGACTAAACAACAACAACATGTCAGTCTTAAACTAACCTTTCTCTACTTCCTAGAAGTTATTCAAATGGTCAAAATTCCACTAAGAAATCGTTCTTTTTAGATGTAGTGACCAAAAATTTACATGTGGTTGCATCATAGATTTGTTTAAAGGCAGTATGATCTAATTTTGATTCCTCTTCTTTTTAGTCCCAACAGGCCTATCTGTTTCATGGCAGTCACACATGGGGGTCAACGTTTTCATCAAGCTATCGTCCACAATCTGAAGATCTTTGTTGGTCAATCACCACTATTGATTCCACCAGTAGGGATATTATGTCAAGCTCCCAATTGAACACCAGTCTACACTTGCTTACATTGAATCTAATTTGTCATTTTAATCAGAAATGTGCATTGGCCCTCCGAGTTGATCTGTACCCGAATAAGGGTATACAGATTCAAACACTGCCTGCCCTATGCCCTTCTCAAGGCACTTTCTTATCTGCTTTTCCAGTTCTCAGAGGAGTGGGGAGCCACATAATAGCTTAAATTCTGTTGCCTAGTGTACTAAGACACAATTAGATCCAGCCCATTTTAATCAATGGAACTTATAGAGGAGATGACTCATCAAATTCCCACTGATTCAATGAGCCTACCCTAGTGCAACATAATACATCAAGCAATTTGATTTCAGTCAGTCAGTTCCTTTCAAAATGTAACCTTCCAAGCTCTGGAAAGGAGTGAGTGAAGGACCTTAAAAGGACATCGAGAACAATCTCCATTTATTTCTTCTTAAAAGGGCAGTTCAGGGAACCCTTGCCTTTCCTCTTCCCTGGACCTGAAATTACCTGGGAAGGTGGGGTTGCCCACAGTATAGTCTTTGATGAGTTGACCAAGGATTTTTCAGCAAGAAAGGCAAGCCATATAAAGAGAACACTTTCCTTCTCCGTTTCCACAGCTCAACATCTCACTGTGCTTTTCTTTCTCTGTCTCTGTCCCCACTTCTTATCATGGGAATGGCAGGTCTTACATAAGGGATCTGTTTGGGGTGCCGCTAACTTATGAATGATTGTAGGCTCTTTGCTCCTCCCTGTGATCCCCCAGAAATGACCAGATAGGGCACATCCCTAATTTTAAGGTCATTCCTCCACTATGAAGAGTTCCTTTGGCACATTTCATGATTTATTTTTGGTTTTGCCACTCTACATAATCTGGTGTTTCCCAATCCCTGGATACTATGACATTTATCCCTCAGTAAAGCTAAAATGGGGACACATTTGAGTACAAGTGTTTCCTCATGCAGATGATGACATTTAAATTAGTCTTAAAAGAAACGTTTTCTATGAGTACTTCAATTCTCAACCACCAGGCAACCTACTGCCTCCCCCTCCCATGGGGCCAATCTATGTCATTCCTGCTTCTTGGCCTCATGGTTTCCTACAACAACAGCATGTTTTGCTCCAATATATTACAAAGGTTGGGACATAAAATGACCCCGGTGGCAAAAGAGGGGCAGAGCTGTGCCTCTTCCTAAACTACTAGCTCATGTGATTATTACCAAAGTATGGCCTGTTCTGTCTTTGACACTAAAGGGGAGCAATCTGTGACCCTCCAGGTGCTGCTAGACTCCAAATCCCACCAGCCACAGTGGTGATATTTTTCTGACCATTAGCATGACCAGTGGTTATAGGTAATGAGATTTGCAGTCCATGAATGCCCAGAAGCTCACACGCTGCCCAATCTTATTTTATACAATTCCTGTGTGTCAAAATAGAAAAAGAGAGAGAGAGATTAGCCCCCAACCTTTAGAGCGTAAAAAGGATTTTATGGTCCATCTTCAGGTAGGAGCTTCACTAAACAAAGCCTTTTCTATGTGATGAAAAGGCCTCTCTAAACACAATCTTTTCCCTGTGATGAATGCTAGTAAAGTGTGTATGACTTAAACTCCTGGGTCAACCTCACATGTTTGCTTTTGTTATTAGACTGAACTGCAGCACAAGATTCACCAATGGATAAGCAGGTGGGTCCTATCACCTGTAGAGTTGAGATCACTTCATCACCCACTTCCTTTGTGGAAACCAGATAGCGGGACATTTCAGGATTAATTATTCTGTCTTCTTTCTCCCAGCGTACAATGATGGGCTTTTCTCCATGAGCTGTGCAACTCATCTCTTTCTTTTGACCCTGTGTTGCCAAGGTGGTGTTTGGGTAGGAGGTTATCATAGCAGGAACTAAAAGTAAACATAATAAACACAAATTAATAGTTCAGTAGACATATGAGAAAGACAGGTGAAACAAAGGAGATTCTGATTGTAGAGAAGGTACACGGGAATCATTTTAATTTTGTGCTTTTACACATATCAATTTAAGAAAGACAGCAGAATACCATATGAGTCTGCCCACGCTATTCCTCTCCAAGGAAAACAAGCATTTATGAGCAGAGTGGATCAGCCTCTTTTAAATGAATTACTCTAATTGCTGTTTTGAAATGCTAATGTTTGGTGGCATGACCTTTTCGTATGTCAGAGCTATTGATGCTTGCATATGACAATATGTCAGAATACAGTCCTTCCCATAGGAAATGTTTCTGAACCATAACTAACTGATTTCTTAGCTAGCAAGATTGTAAGCTGTTTTTAGATGAGGACCCCATCTGGATATGATGGCTGAAACCTTTTGAAAGGACACATCAACAAAGCATTGTTAGGAATACTTTTGAATGTCTGTATTCATGGCACAGTCAAGTTCCTTAATTTTGTGGAGGAATGGAAAAACACTCACCCAAGTATGTTACAGCTCCTCATCGACAGAGGGGATCAGGAGCAAAGACAGAAGGGTGACACATATTTACCTTTACCTTTATAATTTCTGAACACCTGAAAATGACAAGCTTTTTAGCTGACTGTGTCCCACAACATGAAAGCTATTTCAATTTTCTTCTCATGAAGTCATTCTTTGATTTTTATGTACAGACATCACAAGTGATTAGTGCATATACTGGTATAGCAAGGTCAGGGGTTACAGGATCCAGGGACTTTCTGAGCAGCAGGAACTATGACATCATCCAGCATTTCCCCACCTTCAGTTCCCTGTTCCCTCTGAGCTCCGCTACAGTACCATCCTCACAATAGCTGGGAAACAATAAATTTCCCAAGGAATGATATATTGAAACCTATCTCTATTGCAACACAAAATATTTGAGGGTTCCTTTGTCTTGAATGGGCAATGAATTGTCATTATCTTTACAAAAGGTCTGCTCCTCATTTGTTGATATGACCAGATATTGATACTGCTAATACAACACTGAATGCATCAAGTTTTGGTAAAGCAAAGAAAGGTGTGATTTCTGCCCCATCCCATGGAACTGAAACATAAGAACTAAATCACACTTATTCTTTATTAGACTTGCTTTAAAGATGAATCTGATGAACAACATGGCAACAGATAAAATATACAGCAATCCAACATGCAAATCTATAGATAGACAATTTCAATAGGGTCAAAATCAATGTCCATGTAGCACCTTCTAGCTCACCCATGCCATATAGATCGATGTCAATAGTCTCAGTTCTAAATTAGTGGACAACAGGGCTGGTCATTCTGTTAGGCAAAGTGAGGTAGCAAACTCAGGAAGCACAAGTGGCACCAAAGTGTTGGAGAACAGATCACCAGGTGCCATTCTCTGCACCCTCAAGCTACACTATTGCCTCCTGTTGTGGTGGTGGTCACTGTTCCACATCAGTGTGGAGAAATATTCAAGTGCCATTCAACTGGCTTTTACACATGGAATGGAAACAGATGCCAACTTTTCCTTCACCTCATGCCACAAAATTCCTTGGCACTGTCAAGGTGAGCAATGTGGCAAACAGTATTACAGATGTTCCATTTTTATGCTGTAAATGTGGAAGCAGCTTGACGTGCAACTACCAAGTCCATGAAGAAAGAACACCTAAGCTCATGGTCCGGAACTATCACTGGTCAGCATCTGATTCTTTATGTCTTATAGACAAAGTCTCTCATTGAAATAACTTCCAGATATGGAGACAATCTAACGAAAGTTGTGTGAATTGTTATAAATTGATGTTTTCACCTTGCTTGAGGAAAGAGGGTCCCTGACATTTGTTTATACCTTGTATATCTGGTGATGCCCAGTACAGTGGTGCCCCGCTAGATGATTACCCCGCAAAACAATGAATCCGCATGACGACTAGTTTTTGCTATCGCCATTTGTGCTTCGCAAAACAGTGTTTCCTATGGGCAATTTTCACTGGACGATGTTTCGGTCCGTGCTTCGCAAGACGGTTTTCTTCTTTTCCAGGACTGATGCTTCACAAGACAATGATTTAAACAGCTGATCGGCAGTTTTGCAAAATGGCTTCCCAATCTTCGCAAAACGGGTGTTTTCGGGACCAATGCTCTGCAAGATAGCGATTCTAACAGCTGATAGGCACTTCGCAAAATGGCTTCCCTATGGGCGATCTTCACACAATGATGACTATTTTCCCCATTGGAATGCATTAAACGGATTTCAATGCATTCCAATGGGGAAAGGCTTTTCGCAAGACGATGTTTTCGCTAAACAGCGATTTCAATGGAACAGATTAACATCGTCTTGTGGGGCACCACTGTATATAGTTTGTCTCAGCTTTTCAAGTTTTAGTAAACATTACCTAGAATTTCTTTTCCTAGGCCATGACTACACTGGCAAGCCAAGTTGGAGTAATTCTCTTTTGCTGCAACTTGATTCCAGCCTATTTTACACTTTTGTTCTGATTACATGATCACACTGAGATTGCAGAATGTTTCGGTGCCAGTGTCCACACTGGCCCTTCAATTTGATGCAATTTGCTCCATGTCAAAGACCACCTCCCATTGACCCTGCCCTCTGCTGATCCCTGGCTCTGCTTTTAAGGTTCACTGTAAAGCCAGTGGGCTCTTTAAAGTGTGTCATAGTGCTAGGGTAGTTTTCCAAAGTTGTCCACAACTTACACACATACCACAGAAACAAAGTAGTCTGCTGTAGTTCATTGGAGTTCTATTTCATACCAGTTTTTATTTCTCTTTTTTTTTTGTCCACACAGAGGTAAGCTAGCGCTAAACTAGGATATCAATATAGCAATAAAACAATCCAGTACTAAACTCAGTAGTTTTTTAAAAATGAAAAATACTTTGGGTGACTAGGGAGATGCAGAGTGGGGGTGGGGGTCCCTGCTGTCCAAAACATCAAACCCAGCTTAGTACATCACCACTATACCACCCAAAGTCATGCTCCTATCCTTTTGTAGAGCGAAACAACTAATCACACGAGGGAAAGTTTCTTAAATAATTCCAGCCTGAAAAAAGTAGGAGCCCCCACTAACAGAGAAAACTACTCTTTGTTGGGAGCAAAAAGGGTCACACTAATTCAAATTGGCCTTTGCATCATGTGATGAGTAAGAATAATGCAAATTCATCCATTTTACACCTGCAGGAAATCCCTGCCCTCGTATTTGGAAACAAACAGAAATGCTGAGCAAGTCGTGTATTTCCTTATTTGAAATAACTGGGCTGATGACAAGCTACAAAATCTTGCAAAACATCACTAAGTAATGTTTTGAGAGGTCAGTTTTATTAGTTCAATTTAACACAGCTATCAAAAATTGCTTCCCACAGCAGTCAATAATGATGCTAAAGAGCTCGTCCAGTTGATCCTACCAAGAGATGTTCCACATACAATTTTTTCCCCAGTAGCTTTTCCTAAACCTACCTGCCTCGTAGCAGTTAATCTAGTCCCTGTACGGTAAGCTATAATTGGGGATGAGGAAGTGCTTTCCAAGTACATACCTTGACTATAAAAAGCAGAGACATAAAACTGGAACACTTGACTTTTTTCACACTGGGAGAACAGGGAGAAGCTGCACACAGTTTTCCAGAATCTAGGTCAGATTTGCCCCACTAGCAGCCATCTGAAGAATGAATAACATCAGGGGGCTTGGCAATGTCCTCTCTACAGTATCATGAAGTTCTCAGCTGAACCACCAGGTGGGGACTATCCAGCAGATGCTTCAGCCAGGAATTCGACCTCCATCCATAGGGATATAAATGCTTGCTTGTCTCATCCTCACATGCAAGGATAAGGATCTGAAAAGAATATTCCCCTCACCCTACAAGGGGCTGAGGGGGTCATCTGCGACACCCTCAACAACAGAATTAGAATGATTTCTTCTTCTTCTGCCAATTAAACAAGTAACACAATCAAGGGAAGTGTGGAAAATGAGGGTGGCTGCTGCCGTCTCCATGGAATTTTAAGGATCAGAGCATTGGAAAGACTGTGTGCGTAATGTATGTGTGCACAATTTGCTGTGAGTTTATACACATATGCTTTGCTTCTCAGAGGAATCAAAGTTTTGTGCAAATTATGAGACCCTAACAAGAAAAAAAAGCCACTTGTTCTCTTGATTTCTCTTGGAAGCAAGGAATCAAAATGAGCTTGAAGACTCCTTGTTGAGGTGCCTCATTGAGTCAAGATATCCTAAACTGCCAAGGACTGAGAATTTAGCAGATTTAAGGGGAATGCGGGTAAACCATTCTCAGCTGGTACTTTGCTAGGCAGTAGAATAATCTGCTCCTTGCTATTTCAATAACCCTGAATCTGTGAAGGTTCAAAATCTACATAGGGTAGACGTGTGCACACTAGCTCCACCCTCAATACGCTGCTTTGCATCATCCACCCCATCAATTTCTATCAGGATTGGTTGTAGTAGTTTTTTCGGGCTGTTTGGCCATTTTCTGGAGGTTTTTCTTCCTATCGTTTCTTTCGCCAGTCTCTGTGGCCGGCATCTTAAGAGGACACAAGCTAGAACTCTGTTCTAACTCCTGTCCTCTGAAGATGCCGGCCACAGAGACTGGCAAAATGTTAAGAAGAAAAACCTACAGAACACGGCCAAAGAGCCCGAAAAACCTACAACAACCATTGGATCCTGGCCATGAAAGCCTCCAAGAATACATCTATCAGGATTCCCAACTGCAAAAACACTTCTAAATATGTTCAGCTGAATATGTTTGGAATCTTCCTATAGACTCTGGACTGAATAAAGATCAGGGGGGTACGGCAGAGCTGCCATGCATTAAATTCTTGAGGATGGGTCTTGTGAGGATGCCCCCAGTCCCCTACACTTTCGCGGCCTCACTTGTTCCCGTCAAATACCCAAATACAGCTGATACCTTTCCAAAATACAGCAGACTGTCAAAC